AGCAGTCGCGTATCAGTAGTGCTGTGCAGAGTGCGCGCTTTGCCTAATAGTGTTGTTGGCTCGAGGTGCAGCAAATCCACAAAGCACTCAACATTGATGCATGGCGTACAAAGTGCAGGCTGCTTGGGCTCGCACCAGAACTGTTTGCCGCACGGTGGCGTAATGGCATAGTCTGGGTTAGCAGCATGTCTGACTCAGATGTTGTTCAAGCGATGGTAACAAAGAAGGCCGCTGCCTCGGATGTGCAGCACCCTGAGAGAAGTTTGAGCTGTCACTCGGCACGTGGACTTGGGTGCTTGTGACAGTCAACGCTCGGTACGTGCTTCCGGGTTTTGAAAGTCAACACTCGGTACGTGCATCTGTGCCCTGAGAGAAGTTTGAGGTGTCGAAAGTCAACAGTCGGTACGCGGACTTGGGTGCTTGTGACAGTCAACACTCGGTACGTGCATCTGTGCCCTGAGAGAAGAAGTCAACAGTCGGTACGCGGACTTGGGTGCTTGTGAAGTCAACACTCGGTACGTGCATCTGTGCCCTGAGAGACGTTTGTGGTGTCGAAAGTCAACAGTCGGTACGCGGACTTGGGTGCTTGTGAAAGTCAACACTCGGTACGTGCATCTGTGCTCTGAGAGAAGTTTGAGGTGTCGAGAGTCAACAGTCGGTAGGCGGACTTGGGTGCTTGTGAAAGTCAACACTCGGTACGTGCATCTGTGCCCTTAGAGAAGTTTGAGGTGTCGAAAGTCAACAGTCGGTACGCGGACTTGGGTGCTTGTGAAAGTCAACACTCGGTACGTGCATCTGTGCCTGCGAGAAGTTTGAGGTGTCGAAAGTCAACAGTCGGTACGCGGACTTGGGTGCTTGTGAAAGTCAACACTCGGTACGTGCATCTGTACCCTGAGAGAAGTTTGAGGTGTCGAAAGTCAACAGTCGGTACGTTGTAGTGCGGAATCAAGCATTGATGTGCAGCAGTTTCCAGCTTGTCGGTTGTGCGTCGCTGTAGTGCAGTGCAGAATCAACTGGCGCTGTGCAGCAGTTCCAGCCTGTCGTTTGTGCTTCCCTGTAGTGCAGTGCAGAATCAACTAAAACTGTGCAGCACCTGTCGCTTTGCAGCAGATCCAAGCTTCCCTTTGCTTGCCAAGGTTTGGACGAATCTGTCGTGACCGAGAGTGCTTGTCTTGGAGTGCCTTACCTGTAGTGCAGTGCGGAACCAACTGTGCAGCAGTTCCAGCCTGTCGCTAGTGATTCGCTGTAGTGCAGTGCAGAATCAACTGCAGCTGTGCAGCAGTTCCGACCTGTCGATTGTGCGTCTCTGTAGTGCAGTGCGGAATCAACTGAAGCTGTGCAGCAGTTCCTGCAGTGCAGAATCAACTGAAGCTGTGCAGCAGCAGATCCAAGCTTCCAGTTTGCTTGCCAAGGTCTTGACAAATCTGTCGTGACCTGGAGCGCTTGTCTTGGAGTAACAGTAGTGCAGTGCAGAATCAACTGAAGCTGTGCAGCAGTTCCAGCCCAGCCCGTCGCTTGTGATTCGCTGTAGTGCAGTGCAGAATCAACTGACGCTGTGCAGCAGTTCCAACCTCTCGCTCGTGCTGTGCTGTAGTGCAGTGCAGAATCAATTGAAGCTGTGCAGGGCTTGTCGCTTGTGCGGCAGATCCAAGCTTCCGGTCTTGCCAAAGTTTTGATGAATGTCGTGACCTGATTTGCCGTCTGTTGCCGTAACTGTAGTGCAGCGCGTGACCTGGTGTGCCGTCTATTGCCGTAACTGTAGTGCAGTGCAGAATCAATCGAAGCAGATCCAGCCTGTCGCCCTTGCTGTAGTGCCGTGCAGAAGCAACTGAAGCTGTGCAGCTGTGCGGACTGAACCGAAGCTGTGCAGCAGTTCCATGTGAATGCAAGTGAAAGCATGAGAGTGTTGTGTCATTCTTGCACAGGGGCCATGCTCTGTGTCATTTGCTGTGTCATTCTTGCGCAGGGGACATGCTCTGTGTCATTTGTTGTGTCATTCTTGCGCAGGGGACATGCTCTGTGTCATTTTTGATGCCATTGACACCACAAAAACTGCTAGCAATCAGTTCCAAAAATGGTTTGAGAAGCACCAAGACATCTTCCAACTTTAAGTTTGGCCGTCTATGTTTCATTTCTTCCAAGTTTCATGTCTTCCAATTTTGGTGCACAAAATGCCGCTTTCCCCCAAGTACTGGCAGTTCCTAAACAAAGTCATAACCGTGCCCACAATGCACTTCCCCAGGTACTGGCGGGAGCAGAAACAGTTTCACCCAAGTACGGGCGTTTCCAGAACCACGCCGAAAATGCTTTTGCCCCAAGTACTGACGGGATTCAGAATCAATCGACGGCATGGGGGAATCGCGTTCCTCCAAACCACACCCACAATGCTTTGCCCCGAGTACTGGCGGGATTCAGAATCAATCAACGGCATGGGGGAATCGCTTCCCCCCAAGTGCTGGCGGTTCCTGGACCCACCGTAACAGTGTTCTCCTCAAGTACTGGCAGAACTACGAACGATCCAGACGAACCACGGATCCGGGCATGCAGGGGTGTGGGGTTGCCGTTTCCGGGATGCGGGGTTGTGCGGCGCTGCGAGGAAAGAAATACGGTGTTTGCCAAGGTGAGCGAACTTGGAAGATCGCACCAAGAGGCTTGCTCCTTTTGGAGACCACACGGGGTGCCGGACTGCACAGAACGGGAAGTTGGAAAATTGGGTCTCAGGACCAATCGTGCCGAAACGCACTTTCCAACTTTCCGGCTTTGACCACAATCATTTTCGCGTTTTAAGAAGAGAATCTACTCTTTTCCCACACGGAAATGATTAGGTCATAGGGAAGGTGTATTTGGCCATAGGTTAGGCCATAGAATAGACCGTAAGGGATCTATTCGGCCATATGAAAAAACGATGTTCCAGGCTCCTTCCGGTAGAAGCTCCCTTCTGCTGCCTGACAGGTTTTGATGCTTCAATGTGCTAGATTCTCGTCAAGCTGGTGTTCCAGTTTCGACACATTTCCTAAACGCTCTCCAGCTGGAATTCTGCATGCGGCCGGACGCTTTTTGTGTGTTTCGCCAAATAAGCGGATCGGACCGATGTTGCAGAAATGTCCACCTTCATTCCATCCAATGCTGGGCCTGCGCTCTTCCAGGAATTTGATGCTGGCGTCACGGAAGTTCCGAGTTTGGATGTGTTTCTTCAGAGCTTGTCTTTCCCTGCAACGTGATGGCTTAATGGGTAGCTTGCCAGCTTTGCTTCATGGAACCAAAGTGCCCGGGACATGGCCCAGCGCAATGGACGGTGACTCTGCGCTGCAGCAGCAACCTCTGCATGCCAGTCTTGTCTGAGAGCCCGTCCGGCTCCCAGCACCACCAAGAGCAGCAGGATCCAGCTGGCGACCAAGCAGGCGAGCAGGTCGAACGCCAGGTTCGGGCGGCAATTGCCGAGCTCTTGCCTGGAGTAGACTTGCAGACACGAGTCTTTGCGATTTCCGTTGCTCCGTGTCCAGACACCTCGGTTGGGGAAGGCGTGGGCTGGAAGCTCGCGCGCAAAGCGTGTCTGGCTGGATCAAGGAAGCCGTAGAGGTGCACGTCGCGAAGTCTCAGCAGTCGCCACAGCAGCTTTTCAATGCAGTGCTGAAAGATCTTGGAGATGAAGACACCTCCAACAAGCTTCGTGTGCACATGCTCACCTTCTCCCGTTTGTTGCCAGCGACAATCGAGGCCGGGTGATCTGCGCAACGTAAGTGAGATGTCTCGCGAGGCTGCGGCCCACTGCGTCTGGAAAGCTTTTGACAACCCTGTCCAGGGTCCAGGCAGACCATGCGCACGGGCACAAAGTTTGGTGACCAAGCTGGTGGTGTTTCGCGAGTTCCATCAAGATGGAGACTATCACTTCAAAGTGGCAGTCCTTCTTCGTCAGCCGCGCACTTTTGCTGCTACGAAGAAGACCCTGCGCGAAAGGGACAGACTGGCAGCACGCTTCGCGTGCTCACACACGCAGTTCTGGAGTGCAGTCCGCTACGGCTTCATTCCAACTGCTGCCAAGCCAGTTGTGGACGATGCGCCCCTTTCATGGTGTGAGACTGGTGGCTGGGGTGCACTCGACCTCTTTGCCGAGTCGCAGCGGCCTTGGATGGCAGACCTGTGGAAGAAACGCCGGGAGGCGTTTTGGGGGAAAGTATGTAAATAGCTACAGAGTCAGCGGACTTTTTGGGTAATAGCCTTAACCTTCCGAGAAGATGGTGTCAGCGGGGCTCGCCAACAAGCAGCGACGCTTTAGCAAGCTGGATTTGACCGCCATCATTCTGGAGAAGGGTCTGACCTCCAAAGCAGCACTTCTGGCATATGTGCAGGACCACGGAACAGAGGAGATGCAAGCCTTTGTGCACACCAACCAGAAGAAACTCAAGGAGTTCTTGGATGAAGCTGCTGAGTGGGACCGGGCACGGTCTGACGCACGGATGGAAGCAGAGACGGATTGAGAGTTGGTCTGTCGGATAGCCGAGGGGAGCTGTTGCCATGGGGAAGTGTGCTCTTACATGGAAGCCGTCACAATTTTCTTCGCAGCAAGCGCGGCATCTATCCTTCAGAACAATCTGGCCGCAACTTTGCGAGCCATTATCTGTAGCGGTCCGTCCAAGACGACATGTGCGCCTTTGGTTACTGGACCCACGAATTCGGTGAAAACCACTTTGTTTCTTCCTTTCGACGAGGTCTTTGGGTTTCGTCGGATCTTCCGCAAGCCGGCGCTTGGTAGTAAGTTTGCCTTGCGCAATATTCTTCGTGACAAGCGGTTCTTGTTCTTCGATGTTTCCGGCCAGAGGAGTACGCGCAAGAGACGTTGCCCGTCTCAACATTTAATTATAGTCTCTTTCAAGGGCAGCCTCTGGAAGTCCAGGTGTCCCAAGCCTTTCACGATGGTAATGTGGACTTCGAGTGGCACCGAGGCTGCATCATGACGGCGAAGGCAGACGGCTTGTGGACACCTTCCGGGTCCGTCTCGCCCGAAGACATCCGGCACATGCAGTCCCGAGTCACAGTCTTTGCTGCCACGAGCACCATCTCGAGACTCCGGGACACACTTCGTGCAGAAGGTGTTTGTATTACTGGGTCTGTGAATCGGCCAAACAGCATGATGCAGAAAGTGCTCTGGCAGCTCCGTTGCTTCAAGATCCCACTCGGTCTGCAGGAGACACCTCCAATATCATTGGCTTGGAGTCTCTGGCGCAGCGGGCTTACATCCCACTGGGCAAGCTGCAGCAACTGCGTCCTGGCTTTGGTGTGGTGCATGTTCGGGAGCTCACAGAGGAGGACTGGCGTGGCTTGACATGCTGGCCATCCTTGCTACCCTTCGAGCAGCGCCGCCTGCTTGCTGTGCAAGCAGGAAGTGCTTGAGCCTTCAGAGTCTCGACTGCTCAATGC